CCACGCAGGAAGATCCCGGGTGTCCTCACCGGGACGCCAACCACCGACCTTCTAGCTGCAAGGCGCTAACGGTGCTAACCACTGAGATACCTGCGGCCCAATTTTGGACAAATCAAACAGGTTATTTCAGGTGAACACACCAGAGCAGTGGACGTCTTGTGGTCGTGTGGAGGAACAGCGCCCCCTATCTGTTAAATAGTGCATCACAGTAATCATGACAAAACAAATGAAGAACTAATTAAAAAATAAATCACACAACAAAGCTGAAGACCACACAAAACGACACTTTTATAGAGTTTATTTTCAAAAATGTTCAAAACCAGATTCCCCCAAACATCCACATATCTAAATGTCAACATGTCTGGTTTCTAGAACCAGACGGATCCAAACTATTACAACATCTGCTGTCTTTAAACTTCTCCAATAAATGAACCAATCAAATCATCTCATCTTTATTTCTTTTTTGAACAAGTCAGAAGGTCTTTTGTGTTTTCAACAAACGAACAGCAACATGAACGGATCAAGAACATTGACATCAGAGTGAATCACGACTAACATGTTCGTAGCTACGACTCAGCTGTTGCTGCAGCGGTCCTCTCTGTGAAGTTTGGAGATGGTTACTGGGATGTTCTTCTAACGTTACCCTGACATAAACGAGACGGTGGTTGTTCAGCCGGCGTCCTTGGATCCCTTTCATCCACCTCGTGTCCCGTTTTAACCATCTGAAGCAGCAGCAGCGTTCACAACATCTGCATGAAGGCAAAACGCTGACGACAACAAACCACAGGACCTCATGGAACCAAGACGGCTCTGAGTGTTTCTGGACAGTTTATGAGTCATTTGAACAGTTTTTCAGTTGTTATGGAAAGTTTAACTGCTCGTTTCAGACAAACCAAATCAGCCAATCCCATTGGTTTAACATGGACGATGAATATTTTAGTATCTTGGATTATTCTGTGGTTGGACGAGGCCAGACTGCTGCTGTCATGCACATAACTGACATGTGGAGGGTCGACAGCTGCTGTCTCTGGTTCTGTGTCGCACAGTGAAAAGAGACGGAGTCAGATCACACCGATGCAGGTTTGTGGAACCAGAACCAGATGTTTCTAGTTTCACTGTTGACAGAATTTAGGGATACTTTGACTGAATGAGCTGCAACATCAACCAGCAGCTGGTCGGCTGCAGAGGAAAGGCTGAAGCCACTTTGGTGAAAACGTCGTGTTCTAACGTGTTCAGGATTTAAAGTGTTTCCTCCTTAAAGATAAACAAAGAAAAGAACCAATGGTCAGAGTCATCGTCGGTGGCCGAGGATGCCGGTTATTTCTGACCCGCTTACTGTTCAGCAGACTCAGGTGTTCACGTGTCGAAGCAGCTGAACCGAAACTAAAACCTGCTGTCAAATCAAACTGTTCAGGCAGAGTGAGTCCCAGGTGAGTCCCAGGTGAGTCCCAGGTGAGTCCCAGGTGAGTCCCAGGTGAGTCTCAGGTGAGTCCCAGGTGAGTCTCAGGTGAGTTCTTCTGTGGAGGCTTCAGGCGGTGTTCAGCAGGTAGAAGGCGGCAGCAGACAGCAAAGCTCCGCCCAGTGGGATGAGGATAAGGGCTAAGCTCCGCCCCCACCTGCCCCCGCTCCCCTGCTCGCCGTCGGCCTCCCCCCTCCTGCCCCTCTTCTTGCCCCTCCGCCCCCCTCTCTGCTGCCGCTTCTCGAAGGCCTCCAGCTCCTCCTGCAACCAAACCGTCAGTCAGTCAACATGTTGGACGGATTCAGACCAGAACACCATGAAAACACAACTCAGTCATCTGGACAAGGTGGACGTTGTTTAGGACAACATCAGACACCTGGATGGATGTAGAACTGATCTGGTGTCAGGTTCTAACAGAACCTAGACGTGTTCTTCCTCCTAAATGTCATGTGTCTATCTGCTGTACTGATGAAGTTCTGAGGCTCAGAAATGATGGAAAAAGTCCATTAAAGTGATCAATCTGGACCCTCCTCTGTGAACTTCAAGGACCTGGACCTCTGGAACATTCACAGTCTGAAGGTAGAACTCTGGTCAGTAGATAAAGGTTGTGCAGAATCAGAACCAGATGTTCTGAGGAGGTTCTGGAGGAACTGCTACAGGTCTACCTTTGATCTTGACATCAAAATGATTTGATGGTTCTTCAGACTCACCTGAAGCTTCTTCTGCTCCTCCTGCTGCGCTGCTTGCTGCTCCGCCTCCTTCAGCTACACACACACACACACACACACACACACACACACACACACACACACACACACACACACACACACACACACACACACAGGTCAGTCAGTGTTTGGTCCAATAGTGGCCCTCAGAGACTGTACAGGTGCGTTCTCACCTGGCTGACCCTCCTCTGCTGGTCTCTGCAGGTGTCGTCACACTGAACAACACACTGAGCCGACACACAACACAGCAGCTCCTACACAACCAGCACACACACAAAAACATCATGTTTCAGCAGTTTCCTAAGAAGCTGAAGGACGTGGAGCAGAGCGACTGGCTCCGCCCCCTCTCAGGTGTTCAGCTCAGGCCAGGACCAGCTGATGAGCCTCAGCATGTCCAAGGTGTGTGACTTCTGATTGGTCGAAATCTGCAGCGTGACGCCATGAAACAGCCTCAAACTGTCCCAACAACCAGGACTAGTGACTAGTGGTGACTCATATTAACTACTAGTGACTAATAACTAACAATGACTTATAATGACTACTACTGACTAATGAGCCAGCTGTGCAGGTGTGTTTGTACCTTCTTGATCCTCCTGCAGGGGCATCGCAGCTTCACCTTCTGCTGACACCTGTCCTCGCACTCACCTGGATGACACACCTGCTTGCAGCGGTGACCACAGCTCAGCTGCAGAGAACAGAACAGAACCAGACGATCAGTGGTGGGTTCTGTCAGGCATCTTGACTGAATGTTCAGATCTGGACGTCCTCAGCTGAACCTGAGGTTCATCATGTCCAGCAGTGAGGACTCAGACAGAACAGCTCCATCAGAACCACTGAATGGATCCAGCAGGACTCAGTTCAGTTATTGATCCAGAAAGTTCCTGTCAGTGTCTGTCTATGGATGGATCCATGGTTCTGTTGAGGCTCTGACATCAGCAGAACCTGATGTGGTGAAGTTGGACCAGACAAGGTTCTGGTTTCAGATGTTTAGACTAAATGTTGATGTGGCGCATTGGTAGGAACCAGAACCTGGAGTTTGAAGCTGCCTCCTGAGTCCTGAGTTTGATTTCTGAACCTTTGAAATGGTTCCACAGTCGGGCCGGGCCGTACTGACCCGCCGCTATGCACCCCCCTCCCCCAGCTGACGTGGTGGTGAGACCAAAGAACCTGGCTGTCATGTTGCAGTTCTGCTGTGCTTCTGTGGACACGACGCCCTGTCCTGCTCAGGACGGGTCGGCCCACTTCCACTGAAACGCCTTCAGGTTAGACTAACTGTCAGCAGCCGTCCACAGCCGGTGCTCTGTTGATCTGGAACATCTCGGCTCTAAAGCACAAACAGCTGCTGGATACACGGAGAAGAAACTCTTCTGTTTTTATTTGCACCAATAAAGTTCTGAAGTATTTTGTCTCTCATCACGTATATCGTTATGGCAACCCTCCTCATTTATATGCTGAGTAACACTTTGGCCCTATCACCTGTCCTGCTCCACAGGTTTGGACTTCAGGTGAAAACAGGCGACTCCAGGTGTGCAAACAGAGGAACTGTCCGAGCTGAGCCAGACGTCTGACAGGAGCTGGACTCTGAGAACAGAGAGCAGAGTGACGCAGCCTCGGGTCGGTCCAACACAAACACCGGGCGACCTGCTGAAAGAGAAACCAGAGCTCTCTGATCTCACATCCTCCCTGCAGCGCTCACAGTTTGATCTCAGCTCGGTCCAAACAGCTGCTGTGAGTTTCTGAACAGTGGTTCTGCTTAGAGCCGGTCAGCGCCGAGGGTCAGGGTAACCCAGGAACCAGCTCCAGCTCCTCAGACGGGTCCAGGAGAAGCTGCTGACCTTCTGGCTGCAGCTTCTGACTGAATGTGGCAGAAAACTGAAGCTCTACAGAGCAAACAGGACGTCTGAGGAAACTCTGATCCACAGGTTCTCTGGTTTATAGACCAATCAGCTGA